TTTTTTAAAAAAAAAAAAAAAAAAAAAAAAAAAAAAAAAAAAAAGACACAACTTGGTTTCTGAAGTTTGGAAGACATCAGAATTTCCCCTTAAATGTGTATCTCAATGTTAATCCACAGTGTTAATCCTGTTATGTTGAAAGTAGATTATGACGTTCCACTCATGATACCATTTGAATTTAAAGATGTTCAACTCTGGGGAAATGTTCAATTAAGCAGTTTTTTATTTTCATACTGGATCATGAGAAGCGCTCCGTCGCCGGAGGGAAGGGTCCAGATTCAGCGACGCTTATACATCAGTAGTGAAGCATCCTTCACAGTTTCACTGCAATGCGCCCCTTTAGTGGATTCGACGAAAAAAACAAATTTCATTTTGCATGTAGAAACTATAGTAAAAAGAGCTTTTTCTCACCATCCAAGGATGAAAGTTATTACCATGATAGGAAGGCAACAATCATTAAATAAATTAAAAGCATCTTTAAAGTTTTTCCATATACATATATAATATATATTTTTTAAATCGCCATTGACTGTACAAGCATTAAATTCTCAACTAAAACATTTACAGAAACTACATGGAAAGCTGAGAGGAAGGCTTGGTTCTTAGAAAAGGGAGATCATTTAATCACCTATAACTACATTAAAATACAATTCTCAAGAGAAAAAAGCTATACAGAGAAGTCAGACTTACTCAAGGTTTCCTATTTAATCTCATATTTAATCTTACACATCAGATGTGCATAGCTGTTCTTTAACCCAACTTTGATTCAACAAGAAGTCAACATCCAGACATTAGTTATCTGTTAGCACAGAGCAAAGTGAAAGCAGAAAGACTAAACTGAATAACGTACTTATATGAAAATGTTTATGTCAGGCTGATAATAGTATTATACACATATGATTGTCTATGAAAATATTAAATGGGCAACAAGAGATTTTTTTCAGGAATATTAAGGTAAAAATCTTATCTTATTGAATAAATGATTATCAGTTACTATACAGCTAGGTAAATGTAAAAATGTATCTGGAATATTGTAGTTCTGTGATCTGGGGAATCCAATCTTCCAGTTTCAATTCTATAACTCCCAAATCCTGTAAATTGTATATTATTTACATGAGTTACAATAAAAATACTTTGAAAATACTATATTGACATTGGCAGGCCCTGAATTTGAATTTCAGAGAGGAGTTAATGAAAAAAAATTCATTTTTAAGTGACTGTGTTTGTGCCCGTGTGTCTCACATCTAGAAGTGGGGGTGGGGGTTGGAGGAGAGTCAGACAGAGACCAGACAGAGACAGATATGGGGAGACAGAGAGACAGAGGCGGAGATGCATGGCTTATGAAATGGCATTATAAATGTAATTTCTCTCCTCATCACTGCCACTTTTATATCAGGAGATTTATAGAAAGTCTATGTAGTAATTACACAGACACTAGTACCTAACAAATTCTGAAATAGTCACTTAATTTTCAAACTGTTTCAAGTAAATTTTTATTAATTAAAATATTAGCTCATTTATTTCAACCCCCACTGCTGAAAATTCCCTTTATTCTTTGGGAATAAAACTTTTCCTCTTTATACCATAATGTGTTCTCAGTTCAGTAGTGAGATGATGGGTAAAAGGCCGCCCCCAAAGTAACTACTGGCCAAAAGCTACTTTGATTGCCAAGAGACTACCCAAGCTCTTTCACTGTGTTTTCAATTTTGTCATATAAATTGCTGCTTAAAATAAAATCTTGATTAGTTTCACTTGGAAATATTTATTATTCAGAGGACTTTTTTTGGCCATTTTAGGACTTAATTAGTAGTAAGTAGGCATCAAATCCAATTAAGAAAGGCGAACAAAGGGACATCTGGATAGAAGAATACTGGGAAGTAATACTGGGAATTGCGAGAGGTTTGGTTGAACTACCTCTAGAAAAAACTAATTAAAAACTTCATCAACTCTACCAATGAAAATGTTTTCTTTACTGAAAAACAGTATGACTGGGATACGGTGGCCACGTGCTGGCTTGCTTCTATTATGTAATTTTGCTCTCTAATTTTTGATAATGTTTTTTAAAAAGTAACTTCATCACCTAGCTTATTTGGAATCTTTAACTCCCTGCTACCAGAACAAACCAATGAACAATAAGAAACACAGTAACTCAGGCGCTAGAACTCAGTGTATTATCCAGAACCGGTGTGTCTCCCTTGCGGCGTTCACACGCACGCACACCAGCCCCGCTCCCAAAGCTGGCAGAGCGCCACCGCTCCCGGCCCCTTCCTTCGCGGCTCCCAGTGAGACAGAAGCACGCGGGACAGAGCACCGCGCCCCGCACTGCAGGGGTCATGGACACAGGCACTTGAGCGGTTCACGATCCCGCTCCCACCCGCTCCGGGAAGGTGTGCCCGAGACAGCGAATGTGATAAGCCCGCATTTTCAGTGCCAGAAGGACTTTCCAGCTCAGCTGGACGGCCTCTTCATTTTAGGACACTAAACTGGACACGTGGCTAACACGGTGTCCTTTACAAAATAGATGCTCAATAAACATTTATTAACTGATGAACCACCATAGACAGCTAGGGGCAGAGACAGGACGAAACCCCGCGTCTTCCACTACTTCGCAGGCCCTGAAATGGCTTAGCTGTCTCTCATCAGGCGAGACGGAACTAAGAGGAAGATTAATTTAACCACAGATATATAACATCAACCACAACATCCATGGTCTGAAACCATTTCTGAATGTTTCCGCACTTGTAAATACAGCTAGGGAAAGATTTTTGAGACAATATACAAGGGCAAAGGTACAAGGGGAAATGTTTGTGACAAATGGAAATGGGGGGGAAACACAGCGCCTATATTTGACTCCCTTTCTTGGTGGATGCTTTTTAGTGACTTACTAAAAAATAACTTCCACACCCGAGTCAAAAGCCTAGGTCCGTGTGCAAACGTGCCTGGACCTGAATGTGGCCGAAGAACAGCAATGAACTTGTGATTGTTACTGAGCTGGGCCCTTGAAGAAACCTCCGCTGTCCCATTGGCGCCTGAGCCTCAGTGTCTACTGATCGCGTCACAGGACGTGAAAGCAAAGCAAGAGAACTGAAAGCCTAATGGCTTCAGGAAGGATTTTTGAATTCAATTTAAAAGAACACATGAAAGTCCTTGTGAAAAGGAGGTAGAGAAGAGGAATTACATCTGGGTTTTGGAAAATTGCGTCGCTGGTTTCCTTTTCTGGGAGGCAGTGAAATGAAAACAACTGCATTTCCAATTAAATGGCTGGGCCAAGTGGTAACTCTCTGCATATGCTCTTGGATCACTCTATTCTTTTTTGGTAAAGTTCTCATAATTGAATGGTGCTTGCCAGAACATGAAATTAAAAAAACAAAGAATCCTGTGTAGGCTGAATTGTAAAGCCATGTTAAGCAAACCTTCCCACAGAGGGCATGGGCACCTGGCAGTGCGCGCACACACACGCGCACACACACGCACACACACACACTCAGCACACACGCTCCCCTCGACTCTCCCACAGATGCCGAGGGCAGGAAAGCACAGGGGACGGGGGTCCCAGGAACGTTCAAGATCCACATCAGAGTCGACTGGGTTATTTAGCACTTACTGAGCTGCTCAGGCATCTAAGGCAATAAGCCTACTTCAAAGAAGGAAATTATTTTATTCTCTATGAGTAGAGATAAATGATAAGCTATTATTGTTTCTCCAATGTATTTTCAAAGCCCGTTACAAAAATAAGTCACTGTTCTCTAACAGTTCTAACAACAGTTGGAATGGTTTTTCGTGTGCGATTAAAAAAGAAAGAAATTGATGTCCATATTTACTAAACTTTTGCTTTTCTTTACACTCAGAAACAAATCCAGTCCAGTTCCCCTTGGTGGAAACTGTCAGTCTATTTGCTCAGTCTCCTTTGACTATTAAAACATCTTTTGGAATGAAAAGCATTGGCAGTACAAAAAAAAAAAACCCCAAAAAGTCCATAAAAATAAACTGATTGAATTAAGCATTCGAATGAGTTCTTTGCCAGGTTATCTGCAAGCACAGGACTCTACGGTCATGTTGGGATATACTTTAAGTACCACGTTCTTATTTTCATCAAAGAATAAGATGCTGAGCGAGGACATCTTTTCGGGCACACAGCACGGCTCGGGGATCCCGGGAACGACCCCCACGGCTCTCACTATACTCTGGATGGTGGCATGGTTTGATGGCTTCAAAGACTAGGAAAGAAATGGGGGGAGAAGACATTAGTTAAATGAACCTGCTTTCCCGCTCTTCACACCTCATCACTAAAATGCATACATAATGAATTCCTTTTCACAGCTTAATAAGGCCCTGGCATTGGTCAGCCTATCTAACACCACCATCACCAAAGTGGCTAGCATTTAAGTGCCTGCTATGTGTCAGGCATGTTATAGGTAGTACCTCTATTCCCACAACAAAATTAGCATTTTTTACATTTCACAGGTGAAAAAATAGACAAAAGCTTAAAGGACATGTCTAAAGTCAAATAGCTAGTAAGTGGTAGAGTGAAGATTTAAACCCAGTTATCTAAGCAAGAATCCTTTAATTGGATTAATATATACTAAGATGTTTTCAATAATAGGCTTGCAACAAAAACCACTTGTTCTAAATCCTGTGCCAACCATAAAGAACCCCAGCAAGCACCTTATTAAATATTAATACTGCTACAGTGATATTTATACTTTGTTGTTAAAATAAAACAACCATGCCACAGGACATTGATTTATTTAATAGTTGCCACCAGGATGGATTGGATGGTGATTACTCCTTAGAAACACAAACTATGGTTAAGAAGACCACACTGTTGGCCACTGGGGGTCACTGTTGCTCTATGGGTTCACACTTCCACATGGTAGAGTTAATAGTGTTCCAAGAGTGGGCCATATCCTAGGGGAATAATCTAGAGGGCCTAAGGTTTTCCCATGGATGTCAGAAGTTTGACCAAAGAAGCCTGAGTAAAATCTGTTCCTGAGAAAATGCCAAATGAGACCATTATCATCCATGTGAAACATGTGGTTTTATTTAGAGAGTGCCATACAGCTCTGCTCAGCACTGAAGGGCAGTCACTTTTCCAGGCTCTGTGTGTTTAGGTATTGCCAGAGTGGTGGGAACTTCATGAGAAATGCCACACTTTTCAACATTAGTTCTCCCTAATGTCTTTTTTCTGCAGGTGAATCCAGTATTGTTTTAAGCATATTTTGAAACAGAAATTTGGTAACTTGCCAGAGATCACAAGTGAATTCAGAAATAGGATTTAGGCCAAAACTCTGGCTTTTAAATTTCAGGATTTTGAACCATGTTTCTCATGGCTCAGAGGCACCTCTGCCCCATTGAATTGGTATTTTAATTTCATGCTCCTAAAATGCCTAGTATGGGAAACTGGAAAATTAAAAGGTTAAGGGTACATACAAGTCAAGGGAGAAGCCAGTAACAGAAAGATGGCATACTATTTTTTTTTAAAAAAAGAATTCTTTTTGGCAGAGAAAAAAACAAGTCTGATTTGTCTCATGCTACCTTTCAATTTTAATGATAATTACCCATATGTTAAACTTTACTGTGAATAGGCATAAATTATTTTAAAAATTGGTTCTGATGGGCAAGAGTTTTTTACTCTCTCTTCTTCGAGATTTTAAGTATGTGTGGAAAAATATGCTAACTTTTGATTAATTAGCTTTGCAAAGAAAGATATTTCCCCCTTAAAGAACGGAAGTTTATGTTGTTCTATTTGGCATATCATGTGCTCTCCAACATCCATAAAATCTGTGTAACTGACACAAACTGCAGTAGGTATTGTACAATAGAGGCCAATGGCCACTGTTCATTTCATCAGTGATGGTAATTCCCAAAGAAAACTTTTGCAGTCACCTGCTTTTCTCTATTGATTTGTTCTTAAGACTCAATCATCCAAACAGGTTGTGATAATGCCCCGAAAGTGTTTTTTTAATCAATAGATTTTTCTGACATTATTCTGTTATTGTTAACATTTTAATGACTTATATAATATTTAAGTTTCATAGGAAGTGGATCTCTTTAAGTAGATTAGGCCTCAATTGATAAATACTGTTCTGTATCTTTATTCCTCAGTGCCTAGAACAGGGTGTGCTTTAGGCTGAACACATGCTAAGTGGGTAAAATACTTATCAGAAATAGCATTCCCTCCATTTTACCTCTTTCTATGGAAATAATTCCCAACAACAAAAATAAAAGCTTCTGTGCAAATGACCCAGAGTAGATATGGAAAATATTCATGGGTGTTCCCTAGGAAAATTCCTGTCCTTTTTTTAAAACTCTAACTCACAAATGATAGATTCAGAAACTGTAAGCAGTCTCTGGTGGACTCATGGAATTCAGCACTAGCCCATGATTCTGGGTTGGTGTGTCTTATCAGAAACCGCTGTTTTCCAGGGAGTTTCCCGTTTTTTTCTCACTATGGAATCCTATGACCAAGCTGCCATTACCAGGAATAATTATGTCACGCACAAAAGATCCATGCAGTAATTTGCTCATTTGAAACATAAGGCCAGTCTATAATTTTTGTGTTTTTTTGAGTTTGATCATATTTCTCATGAGATCTATCAATCGCAAAAGCAAATCTGTGTTATTTCCCTTCCCAGTCTCCCTCACTTTTTTATGGGTTTTTAGAGAGAGAGAGGGAGAGAGAGAAAGAGAGACACATTGGTGTGAGGGAGAAACATCAATCGGTTGCCCCCCATATATTCTCTGACCAGGGATCGAACCGGAAACCTGGGTGTATGCCCTGACCGGGAATGGAACCCACCGCCTTTTGTTGAAGGACAGGACACTCCTCCCAACTGAGCCACACCAGCCAGGGCTCCAGTCTCCCTTTTTAATGAGGGTGAAACATGACTTCATCAGTTTAGGTGATTTTTTGCTTAGGTAACCCTGTACCTCAAGAGTTAGTATTTTCAGAGTTCATAATTATGAGCAGAGACTGGAATTGGAAAAACTCAGCAAGTTAATCGAGGGCGTGTCATTCTGAACTCATTAAATGTGAATTTCTTTTTTATATAGGATGCTTGGTTCAAAGTGTTTAGATTCTTTGCTGCCTAATTCTGTGTCTTTGCTATTCCTAGCTTTTGCACCATTCCTTGCAAAAATAGCTTCATTCCTCTAATCCTTGCTGGTTTTCTGGGATCTCTGTCAGCAACAATGGTTCAATCATTCCCATTTGAAATCTCTGTTTTCCATCTCTGCGAAGGTGGTGAGAAGAGAGGCAAAGGCATACGACTTGGCTTTAGCTACATGGGTATTTTTCATCTCGTGGCAACATTCCAGGGGTCTCTCCCTGGGAGAACAGATCGGCTGTAGGGGCTAGAAATCAGAAAAATCCAAACTGCTGTGCCTGTGAATGAAATCTGCAGCGGTCAGGCCGGCCCGCACCTGCCAAGCTGCGCGGTGTCCCCGAGTTGAATTTGATTATAAATGCACTAGCAGGGGAGAGTGTGTCATCAGCTCCGAGCCTTCATTCCTGACCCGGGCCATGGGGTTCTGCTCCACACTCTCCCAGTCCAGCCCACATGGGTGTGATAGCCCAGAAACTATCTAATTGGAATCAGTGAAAGGGCAAAGTCTGGAATTTGGGAAAGACAGAGCACAGCTGTTCTGAATTACAGAACAGGTTGTCGACTTTTGCAGACGCAGGGCCCCGCCGTAGAGCGAGCTCTCGCTCGGGAGGCCAAGAGGGGGGGGCCAGCGAGGAGTCTGGCCCGGGAGAGCTGCTCTCTGGGGCAAAATGTATATCGAAAGTCTGAAAGTTTTTTGGCGCCTCAGTTATTCCACATGTGTTTGTAGGGATCTGGTCAGAGACCTTACTTTCTTCTGTTGCTCCGACTGTATTTCTAGTTAAACACTTCACTCTGGTGACCGTGCTGGACACCGTGCTGATAACAGCGATGCTGATTAATTACCCCTAATGGAGCAGCTTCCTAGTGCTTTATGTCCCCCGCCCTTTTGGTGACTGTACCACTTGAAAGCCACAGAGCCTTAAAGGGAACCACCAGAATGCGTTACAAGGTCAGCAGATCCAAACTAGGTGATGAGAGACTGAGAACTCCATGTAACAGCCAAACTTCCACTCTCCACTTGGCAAAGGGAAATCTCAGGCTCAGGGAGAAAACTCCACACTTATCCCTGTTATGTCTCCCTGGAGTTCTGAGGCCGTGCCAAGTTTTGACAAATATTATGATGAGTTCAGTTGCTGCAACCGATGCTCTCCTGATCCTATGCCTCTCTAAAGGAACGGTACTGGAAGAGCTCGTGGGCTGTTGAGCCCACAGAGAGAATCCTATTTTAGGCTTTGTGATGTTTAAAAAGGGGATAGAAACATTTACAAAACTTTTCCTTGTCTTCCATCTTTTATTCTCTTGACCCCTTTCCCTATGGGGTCCTTCTTCAGCCCCCTGCATGTAATTTTCTGTTCTCTTCAGTCTCAGCAGTGATAATTAATAATGTCAGTAGCAAATATTCATGGAGTGCCTACTATGTGCAAGGTACTCTAGCATCTCATTTTCCCACTGTGTTTATTATGTAAATACTATTATTATTATTATTAATTTATTGTATCCATTTCACAGATGAGAAAACTAACATACAGAGAGTTTAAGTAACTTCCCCCCAAAACCTTATCTGGTAAGAAAGGGGGAACCAAGGTTCAAGCCAAAAGGATTTGACTCTTGAATTTACTACTCAAAGTGATTTTGGGACCATGAGCATTAACATCTAGGATCTTGTTAGATGTGCAGAATCATAGGCTCTACCCCCCAGAGCCACTGGAATAGATCCTGCATATTATTAACATGATCCCCAGGCTATGATCAAGCACGGATACTTCATTATTCCACTGCACTAACATACATCCCCCCTTAAACCTGTCCCTGCCGTTCATAACTTAGCCCTCATAAGTTTCTGCCTTAGTCTTCTTTAGGTCACTGAGAACCATGGTAAACTTCTGCTGAAGCAATAGCAAAGTTTTTGAACAGTCAAAGCAGGCAGAGCCAAAAAGAGATGGGGTGATTTTGGGGGGTGGAGACCAAGCCAGGTCTCCTGAGTTAGGGGTTGAAAAGCTAACTGACTGTGTACCTCCAGATTATCATGGCTCCTTAGGCCATGATAATCCGGAGTCAGGAGGGCAGAGGAAAACTCCTACTCCAGGCTACCCAGAGAAATCAGGCCTATGAGAATGAGAGTGGTTATTTGGAAGACTCAGAGGCCCACTTAAAATCAGTCATCCTGGGTTGAGAGACAGATCTGGAATCCATTTCTGCCTCTCAACACCACAGAGCGAGCCACTCCGTAAAACACTCAGAGCTGCCTGCAACATTCGGCACTTTTACTGTGAGTTTTAAATGCTATCCCAGTTCCAACAACTTGTGTTTGATCAGTGAAATGTCCTTTATGAATATTAGGAAAGATAAGGCTTTTATATAATTGTAAATGTATATAATCTTTACTTTGTGTTTGTGTTTACAAAACATGAAATTTGCAAAAAATCTTTGGGAAAGGCTTAGAAAATGTAGAAAGTTTGTCCTTCTGAGACATTCTAACAAGAAAATGGAATTTCAATCAAGTTCCTGGCCCTGAGGCGGACATGGCTTCGTTCAGTCTTTTGGCCCTTTGCTTTGTGTGTGTGTACATTTAGCACCCCAATGGTCATAGGACTGGAATATGCACGTGCTACTTTAAAGGTCTATAAGCAGAAGTTGGTTACTCTTTGAGGCAATGGATTTTTTTTCCATTCTCATACAACAGCCAAAGTTGATTCACTTCAAGTTTTGCAAAATGAAAACAAAACCTCTATTCTTCCTCTGAATTCTATCCCTAGAACCACTTTTCATTGTACAACAGAAATTTGAACTGTTATAAGCTAAGAATGGAAGTGCAGCAATACGCTTAACCTGAAGGCCAGAGAGCACCACTGTATTTTACTGGCTATAAATTCGAAGAGAACAGTCCCTTGGACTTGTGTGCAAGATGGGGGTGGGGTTAGGAAGGCTTCTGAAAATATATTTGTCAGAATACTGAGGACTGATATAAAGTACAGTCCCTATTGATTTTGAAAGAGACACAGGTAAACTCTGATTGGTTGAAATGAGTCTTGGAAGAAGTTTTCAGAGTCACCGTATCCTATTCTGCCTTCCTTTTGGATGTGTAAGGGAAGCAAATGTAATAAACACCTGGTGGATTTCACAAGGTGAGTTTACCTGGCCCAACCCTGATCTTGAACCCCATGGGGGCAATTCATCTCAGAAGAGGCTATTTATCAAAAAATATTCTGCATCAAAACATCAATGTTTAGTCCTTTCCTGTGTTCCCATGGTAGCCACTCATTCTCTGAATGCCTCTCTGGGATCAGCCGTCCACCATTTGGGATTTGCTTACTGTGGACAGGTATAGATTCACATAGCTGAATAAGCCACCTGACTGAATATGCACTGTGTTTGGAAGGAACACAAAAAACATTTTACACAAACATTTTTTTTCTCATATCCTTCTTTGTACCAATACTGACTTCATATTACTGTAACAACAATTAAAGAAACACGAAGCATAAGCATATTATCTGTTACACTTTAGAAGGCAATAAATAAGTACCCAGGTGGATATGTGAAGGAAAACACACACTCAACTTAGTGTGTTTGGCTACTCTGTGGAGGTAGGAAGTACAGGACAAAGAACAACGGCTACCTTTGGCATGGGGAACTGGCACGCTCCGGAGCAATAATAGGCGTCGAAGGACTTGGGGGAGATAATCCATTCACTCCAGCCAATATCCGCAAAGTCCACCTTAAGGTATCGCCTGGCACAATTCCGAGGTTCAATCCATTGCTTCCTTCTTGCCTTCTTCAGTGTCTGTTCATCAAACTGGAGCGTCTGGCTCTTCTGGTGAGGCCCTTTTCTCTGTTTCTTCTTGTTCTTGCTCTTCTCAGGGGGCTGAGTCTGCAGGGTCTTGTATGGCTTTCTCTCTTCCCACAGCCCATCCTCCTTATACTGATACTCTGCCCCAGGAAGCTCATTGTTCTGCAGAGGCAGCAGGACCCCAGTAGAACGCTTCTTCCTCCGTTGAAGAGAAAGGGCGGCCCTGACATGGCTATCCAATTTGGGCACAGCTCCAGTGGGAAAATTTCGGTGACCTTGTAAGCTCGATACCACACTCTCTGGCTCAGAAATGGCAGCATCATTGGCATATACCAAGATATAAGGTTCAGGAAAGGACAGCATCTTCTTTGGCAGCTGGTATCCTTTGGGGGTTATGTTAAATCCTATGAGGAACTCCTCATTTTCCTTGGCCTTCCTCAAGAGTGGAGTGATGTCCTTAGATAGCCAAGACACAACGTCCCGATGAGGTTTGGCCACATCTGCTGAAAGATGACCCAGAAGTTGACTTTGGTTCCTGTTGGGTTTGAGGATCCATGCAGAGAGATCGATCTGAATATGCTTCCTCTTAGCATGATGTGAGCATCCTCTTGACCCTGGACAACTCAGGCTAATGTTCATCAGCTCTCCAATGTAGAAATACAGTGCAGCAGATAAAATGTTTTCAGACTTGGTTAGAGAAGTCAGGTTAAAAATATGCAGTCCCTTGCTTTCAAGGGTTCCTAGGAAGGAAAAAAAAGAGAGTAAACAGGAGATCAACAGAATCCCTACCTCACACCATATATAAAAATTCACTCAAAATGAATTAATGAGCTAAATATAAGAGGTACAATCATGAAATTCTTAGAAGAAGACATAGGGGTAAAATCATCATGGCCTTGAATTTGGCCGTGGATTCTTAGATATGACACCCAAAGTGCAAGCACCAAAAGAAAAAATAAATAAATTGATAAATAAACTGAACTTGGGAGTAGGTGTAGGGTGGAAGGGGTTAATGAGGGAAAAGGGAGGGACATCTGTAATATTTTCAACAATAAATATAAATTAAAAAAAGACAAAAAAACTTTTGTGCATCCAAGACATTATCAAGAAAGCCTATACAAATGACAGAATGGAGAAAATTTTATCAAATCATGTAACTGATCAAATCTAGTTTAAGACTATATAAATTCCAACTCAACAACAAAAAGTCAAACAAGAAGGGACCCCATGAGGCTTGTAACCAGGGCAGCAATGGGCAGCGGCAGTTCATCCTGGGAAAACCCCCTGAACCTGCCGCCAAGTCTCCTTTTTCTCTGTCTTTTTAGTGAGCCAAAGCAGCCCAGCCTAGGCTCATTTCCCAACCTAATCCCTCTCCTGTTATCCTAGGCCCTTCCTTGTTTCACTGTCCCCAGCTTTAATAAACGTCCTCTAAAATTCACCTGGACTTGTGTTGTAAAATTTTTCCTGTACAAATTCAAGAACCCACACACTACTGGCCTGCTTTAGGCAGACCCGCTAAGGGCTGGGTCCCTTTCCAGTAACGCTCTCCTAGGCCATCCAGAAGGCATGCATCCAGCCTTAGCCATTTTAGACTTGGGACCTCTGCAACTGTAAAACAATAAATTTGTGGATTTTATTATTATTGTTTTGCTTAAAATAAGCCAAATAAACCAATAAAAAAAATGGGCATTGAATGAATTGAATAGACATTTCTCCAAAAAGATCTACAGAGGCCAACAAGCACATGAAGAGATGATCAACATCCGTAGTGATTGTTAGGAAAACGTAAATCAAAATCACAATGTGGTACCATTTGACACATACTAGGCTGGCTATAATAATAAAAAACCCAAATAAGTGTTTGCAAGGATGTGGAGAAGCTGGAAGCGGTTCATGTTGCTGGTTGGAATGCAAATGCTTCACCTGCTGGGGAAAATAGTTTGGCAGTTCTTCAAAAAGCTAAACATACAAATGCCATGTGATCCCCACAATTCTACTCCTAGGTACATAGCCAAAAGAATTGAAAACAGGTGCTCAAGAAAGTACATGTACATGCATGTTTATAGTAGGACAACAGCCAAGGTTAGAAACAGCTCAAATGTCCATCAGATGATGAATATATCCATACACGAAATATTATTCAGCCATAACAAGGAATGAAGGACTGATGCTTGCTATAGTGTGGGTGAACCTTGAAAATATTGCGCTAAGTGAAAGACAGAAATAAAAGGTGTTGTATGATTTTATTTATATGAAATATCTACAACGGGTAAATCCATAGAGACAGAATGCAGACCAGTGTTTGCCAGAGACTGCAGGCAGGTAAGAATGGGGAGCTTAGTGGGTTTTACTCTGGAATGATAGAAACAATTTGGAACTAGGTAGATGTGGTGGTTGTACAACATTGTGAAAGTACCACGTGCCATTAATTGTTCACTTAAAAATAGTTTTATGTGATGTAAATGTAAACTCAGTTAAACAAATTAACAGGAATAATTTTATTTATTGAAAATATTTTTTCCTGACTTGCATTTTATAAACTCTTTCTTATACTTAAACAAATTGGTTTGGGATGATAATGATGATGATGATGATGTCATCCCCGCCCTCCCTCAGTGGGCCATTTGCAGTGAGGATTTTCCCTTTTAAAAAAGTTTTATTTATTTATTTCACTCATCCCTCACCACCCTCCTCTTTGGAAACCATCACCTTATTCTTTATATCTATGGGTCTGTTTCTGTTTTATTTTGTTTATCCACTTGTTTTGGTTTTATGGATTCCATATATAAGTGAAATTATATGGTATTTGTCTTTTTCTGTCTGACTTATTTCAGTTAGCACAATACTCTCTAGGTCCATCCATGTTGCTTTAAATGGCAAGGTATCATTCTTTTTTATTGCTAAGTGATATTCTATTGTGTATATACCACCATTAATTATGAGGCTACCAAGAACTATTCCTATAAATTTTGCACAGTATTGTAATAGCTTCTTATATGAGGCAGTGTAGAGCCTACTGGTTACAAGCATTGGTGGAATGAGACTTCCCTTAATTCAAGTCCTGGGTTTAGCCCCTTTGGACAAACTGTGTTCTCATTTATAAAATGGAGACAATACCTACCTCTCCTGTCATTAGAATTAAATGAGATTGTGTTAAGCAGTTTATAAAAGGTCTAATGAGTGTTTCTTAAATATAAACTATTGGTTGTTATTAGTGCTGGTTTAACTGTATTACGGGAATATCTTTACTTGCCTCATAAAATTTAGGGTGCAGGGTGACTATGGGTAAGCAAGACCATATATCTCAATATTCAGATAATATATCTGAAAAAAGAAGCTAAGCATTCAAAAGTGTCATAAAGAATTAATGCTGTTCAGAGTTTGTCTGAAGATTATGACATTCCATGAATTTAAGATAATTGAACTGGTCAATTGCATTTCCAGTTCTTCAAATCTAGAAATGAGAGAGTGTAACAGAATGAGAGATTGATTAATGAGGACAGAAGTTGGTTCCTTCTCTTAAGATTATCTAGAGGTGAGGCTGAGGTTAGACTCAAGAATCCAGTCCTGGGAGGGGTCACAGAGCCCCTCCTCTGTGCACTTGTTCCGTATATACATTTGTTTCAGAAACATACATGCAACCATGAAATTATGTTCCTGATCAAAAACATATTTCAGTAAAAACAAAATACTTTTATAAGGACGCGGAAACTTAAAATGAGTTCATTGAGTCCCCAAGCACAAGGGAAGTGCAATGAGAATCTATTTTACTCATTTTAAACATTATGGGAAGGAAAAAGGAGGAGACTGCCACTGGTGCACAAGTGTGTCCTCCATGACACCGGGATCATCTTTTACAGACCTCTGTGGCATCAGGGTTGTTCAAAGGCTCTAGTCTTAATTCAGACCAGTCATCATAGCATATAGTTTTACCCAAGCTTTGCATAGCAGATGGACATTTAGAGTGGAAGGAAGAGAAGTCCGAGACTAAGAATGTGGCAATCGAATGGTTGCCAGACAAACAGAAATGAACAATCAGGGGCATGGGTGGTAGTGTCTTAATGGGTAAATTCATCGTGATCCTTTCCCCCACATTTTGTTTCAAAATGTTTCCTTCTTTCAAACATATTTTCAGACACCTTGTGACCGGCTGTTAACCCGCCTCCACCCCTGTGTCTAATCTTCAGTATCTTCCCATAAATGTCTCAGAAATCTGCCATATGGCCTCTTCTGATGGTTTTCATTTTAATGCAGGATATTATTCTGAAGTTAAAGCTCTAAAGCCCAGTCCCAGCTCCACCACGCCCAATAGCTGTCATCAGGCAAATCACCTAAGCTCTTGAAGTCTCGGTTTGCTCACCTGTAAAATGAGCCCAGTGGTATCATCAGCAAAGTTGTTGTGAGAAGTAATACAAAGAACGCAGGCAAAGCACATAGTACATAGAAAAAATTCAATGACTGTTAGCTAACCAAAACTGCACTGTCCAGTATTAGAGATTAGCCACTGAAGTTCAAATTGAGATGCTACGTTAAGTGTAAAATACACACCGGATTCCGAAGACTTAGTACAAAACTGAATGTAAAATAGCACATGATTCTATTTTATATTGATTGCATGTTGAAATGATCATATTTGGGTATACTGAGTTAAATACTGTGATGATGTGATTTATAATAAAGGTATATTTGGTCTTCCTCCCATTCCCAGCACAGAGCTCCTAAAATCCTTGAAGTTTGCTAAGTGTTGAGAGCCTTAAAGGTGTCTTTTGTTATGCTAATGAGGCAACTTTGGGAGGTGAGCTGAGGCTCTGGGCCATGGGAACCAACCCTGTAGCTAGAGGGTTGGAACTTACAGTTCCCCCTGACCTATCTGGGGAGAAGAAAGGGCCTGGAGGTTGAAGTTGTCACCAGTGGTTGATGATTTCATCAGTCAAGCCTATATAACGAAGCCTCCATACACCCTTCCCCCCACCCCAATGGGGTTTGGAGAGCTTCCAGGTTGGTGAACATGAGAATATTTGGCAAGAAGGGGTCATAGGAGCCTCCAATATGTAGGCAGTTGGTCAGAAGTACAGGTAACAACCTGGGCTTGCAATTAGCATCTGAAGTGGAGGATGGTCTTGTGGGACAGAGCCCTTTACCTGTGGAATCTGGAAGCTGATGCTATCTCCAGGTATACAGAATCCGAATTGAGTTGAATTCTCAGATGCCCCGCTTATTGGTGTGGGGAACCCTTCCCCCTTCAGAATTAGGTGCAGAACATTTTAAATATATTATTAAAATTAATCTCACCTGTTACTTTTCATATTTTTTAATGCAGCCAATAAAATTTAAAAATTATATATGGTGGCTTACATCAGAGGCTTAAATCTCCATTGGACAGCGGTGGTCTAGAATAACCACCAGGTTTAGTAGTCATATAGTCCAAAAGGGAAAAAAAGACGCCTTTTTCCCCCCAAATGCTGTGAAGAATTGGGATTTTGCTAACCATGAGTATGCAAACCAAAAAGTAAATTGGGCAAAAAATTCCCTTCTTGGAATGCAACATTCTTTCCTTATCAAGGACTTATTAGATAAAGATAATCTTGGTGATTACTTTTTAATTTTTCCTCCAGTTACACCTAATTGGTTCCATCTGCAGTCATAAGTCTAAGACCAACAAACTGCTCTGAAATGGAGTTAAATGGGCAATTTAGCAATAGCACTTTGCTTTCAGGGCATAACAGTTATACACACAGCGTTGTGTTATCTGTGTATTACACATAAACATCCACCACAACCAACACAGGCCAGGAACTGAAGCAAAACAAATGTTTTACTTAACAAATGAGAATTTTTTCGTACTAGGTGCTTTGTCTCAGGGTTGCACAAAGGACAGCTGCTGCTCACACTGGGAGGGGGGCAATTAATAAGCAGTGTGCAGGTGGCTGTGCCATGCTGACTCTCTGTGCTGTCATGGTGTTAAATGTGCTTGTAGCACAGAGGAGGGAGCAATGAACTTTGCCCATTGAGAAGAGGGACACCCAGGGAGGAGGTAACTTTGGAACCAGACTTTTAAGAATAAGACAAAAGGGAGACGCACATGCTAACAGTAAGCAATGCTGGATATCTGAGAGCTTTTGCATCAGCAGCATCTCCAATGTTTTAAACAGACACTTATAAAAACATTCCGAATTAACCTAGTTACTTGAAGCCCTAACAGACATCTTAGCTGCCTGCGTTCAGAAAAGGACTGGTCAATGAATGTTTAGCTCCTACTAGAAGGTGTCCTATGCCCCGCACTTGATGCCTTTGCTCCCCGCATTTCCATGCAGGACAGGGGACTCACTATCTCTGCCTGGTCTAGATTCCCTCCTCCCCACTTTTTTAAACAATAAGCTTGAAATCTCAACCATTCCACAAAACATTCCTTGACTTTTCCAACCCACACTTTATTTTTGCTTTCTCTGACCTTAAAAGCACTTAAGTTCTGTGCAAGTCAATGTCCTTTCCCTTAAAACAACCCGAAAAATACTTAGTATTTTTAATGGACAAAAACATTAATATGAGAGGTGCATGGATTTAAGCAAATGAGTATTGGTGGTATAAATAAGAGTTAATATTTCCCTGCAAGTAGAAATATGTGATAATAATATCTAATCAATTATTGTTTTTTTATTTTTTAGATATCATATTAACTTAACTTTTGAAATGAGTGTCTTTTCATACTCAATAACCGGAGTTTGGCAGTAGCTCCCCTCTGTTCCCCATCAGTTGTAGCACAGATATCCATGTTCAAACAGTGAATGAAAAATGCTTCAGTGTTCACTTTTTCTATTCTTCTGAAATATTCCGATATCTATCTATTTGGAATTATTGAATCTGAAACCTAAGGTGTAATTTCTGATTAATAAGGACATAGTGACATAATAATAATATAAACAAATGGTGGGTTTTTATCAGGGTGCAAAACAATAGCTTAAGCATTCTTAGGCTGTTCATAGTCTTTGGGTACCAGGAAACATTAACTGTCTGCCGCACCAACCCAATTATATCTAGAGTTGCATGCTTAATTCTGGGTACTCTCATTTTAACTAGTTCATTCTAGAAGAGAGCAACTAGGAAAGTAACCAAGATGTTGAAGAGTCTGGAAACATTTGTATAAATTTGAGTTGAAGAAATAGAAAATCATGGACTGGAGGAAACAAAAGGTTTAACAATGACATGAGCATTGTTTGTGAATACTTGAGGGGCTGCAGAGAGATCAGGGTTTCCCTTTTCAGTGTCACAGATGAGAATGTGATATAAAGGTGATAGCTGAATGGAGGAAGACTCCAAGCCAATGTAAGTTACGATTTTCTAAGTGTCTAGCCTGACACTGACACCCTTCTGTGGGACTGGGCAAACAGAAGATAGATGATCATAATTCAAGACCATTACAGGAAGATCTTTATGGTAGGGAGGGTGTGAGAGGGGAACTAGATAACCTCACAGATCCCTTGCAAAGAACTGCAACAAGCTTGATTTCCAGCTCAACCCAAATAAATGTTTTTGATGCCAAAATATAACTACCAATAGGTGGTGCTGTTTTCTAGCTGTTTGCTGGCACCGACAAAAGCTTGGATTTTCCTTGTTGGGGATACATCTACTGCAACCTATTTAGGACTGGCCATTGGCATAACCTTATTTTGAATTTTCTAGAGTCGTAATATCTGTGAATTGAAAAGGGGCTTAGGAGTCAGGTGAGTTTCTGAACAAGCCATGCTCCCCTCTGCACACCCGTTAGAACTCTGCACCTGCTGCTGCTTCTCGCTGAAATGCCTGCACCGCCCTCGCTCTCCTTGAATCCCAGGTCTGTCTTGTAAGGCCAAGCGCAGGCACCGCCTTCTGAAGCAAGCTTGTCATGACAACCACTCTTTCAGTTCAGACCCTGCCTCGTTACCATCTGCATCATAGTGTTGCTCCCTCCCAAGACCATAAACTCCTTAAAGACAAGTAGTAATTAACACCAGACTCTTCAGCCCCTAGCATAGGGCCTAACTCTTAAATTGTGCTCAATAAATGCTTCTTTCATGAATAATCAGCCTGCTCATTATAGAGAAGCAAAAGCGAAGGAACACAGAAGCTAGCTGGCTAGCTAGCCATGGATTTTGGAGAGGAACCCAGGTCTTCTATTACCCATATAGATTTTTAAGGAGTTTGATTACTAAACAAAGACAGAAGATTTAGTTGTTTTCACCTGAGGACAAAGCACCTGCAGCAAATGACACCAAGGACTCAGCGAGGACACTGACTTAGGGCCGGCCGTCCCCTTGTAAGAGTTGGGCTCCTCGGGGAGGGGGGCGGCTGAGCGCTGCCCGGGGAGTGGGAGGGGAAGTCCACCTTCATACTGGCCCACGCAGGACGTTTCAAAGGCAATGAGAACACACGATGGAAAGCTTTCTATGTAAAGTCTGATTTTAAAACAAATAGACTAAATGAAATCTTGATGACTACTTAAATCCCCGGGGAGCAGGGAAAACATTTTAGTCATTCAGAAAATATGTAATGAAGAACTTTTCCCCCACTTCTTTCTCTAAACAAAGTCCAGCTGCTAGAAATGCCAGGGGTGCCTAGGACAGGGCCGCTGGCATCCATCGCCACTGGTGAAATACTTGCTGCAGGTTACGGAGGCGAGACTACAGCTTCTCTCCGCCACCCTCAGCTTTGGGGCAAAGACAAGATGGAATGTTTCTAGAACACCAAGTCATAGGTTTTTGTTTTTCTTGCAGAGTCCCAGTCAAATGACTGAGTTTTATGGGACCTCAAAACAACCATTCTCTATGTCCAAAGTAAAACATGGCCAAAGATGATATAATGTATGTTTTTCTAGAATAGCAAAATATTAATTATTCAGTTTATCTCCTCTTAGCCTCCACCCAAGGGCATTCCCAGACTGTGAGCTCTCGGAGGGCAGACTCGTGTCCTATAAATCTTTGAACTTCTAATTCTTTGCACAGAATGGAGCATTTATATCCTGCAAAATATTTGTTAAACTTGTTGAATGAACAAATGTATAAACTTACCCGATTCAAAAGTGTTTCCTACTTAACACCAAAGTGAAAACACTTTCAAGTAGTTTCAAGTTCCCAAAGTCAGCAAAAGCCCTTCTTGGGTAAGTACGCTGTGGAGTTTCCTTTCCATTCATCAGAAAAGACGCATTATTAGAACTGTGTATATAAAGTAGAATAGTATTTCCATTCAACATATATGTGGTAAAACGTCTCATGAGAAATTCTTTCATGGCAAATTTACTTTTAAAAAATCTTTTGCCTGGCTGATAGCTTTTCTACTATCTCTTCTTATCAGATCCCTTCAACAGCTAGCTCAGCTCAACTGTTAATATTTACTGAGCGCCTGCTGTGTGGCAAACCATGCCAGGTCCTCAGAATACACGAATGAGACTTGCTTTATAGGCCCCTGCTCCCATCCTCCCTCTAGCAACCCAATTAGGCCCCGAACTCTCCGCAGCTGGGAAAGAAGGGCAAGAAGTCTTGATTAACTTACTGTGAAGCCTGCTCCAGGGCCCAAACTATCCTAAGTACAGTAATATATCTTCCGGAGTGAAAGACGCTTCCCACTATACAAATCCACAAACCATTTGTTCATGGGAAGACCCACCAAAAGGGCCAGGACTCACATGTGAACGAATCTTAAATTTCAGACTCTGGTGATGATAGGATACTGAAAGCTCTAGGAACATGAGCTTAGAGCAGTGTGTCTTAAACATGCGTCAGAATCACCTTGAGGGCTTGTTAAAACAAACTGCTGTGCCCCGCCTCCCAAGTTTCAGGTGGGCTTGCGTGGGCCCGAGAATTTCTACCAGTTCTCAGGTGATGCTGATGTTGCTAATCCAGAGGTCATACTTTTAGAACAACTAACTTCACGAAATCACTATAAGAAAGTCAACCCTGCTCCATTCAGCCACCAAGATCAGGACAGAAAAAATAACTTCTCGAATATAGGCTTAAGATGTCATAGACTGTATTACAAGAGGACTGCCACCTCTTTCCATTTCCATTGCCACCCGGAGATTTCCTTTGTGCTCCAAACAATTGCATATTATCAACATTTTAGGCATGTTTAAGGTTTTGTGGGAAGCTAGACCATCTCTCAAAGTATTAAGAATATTTCATTTATGTAGGGCTTCTAAACTTTTAGTGCATTTTCACATTCATTTTCTCAATTGAGTTCCACCATTCCATTTGAGTGGCACAGTAGGTGTGACAACCCATTTGAAGAAACTAGGTCTAGCGATATTAGATGACTTTATTAATTAGCAGTTCAGCCAAAATTAACATTTAGTAGATCTCTTAACTCTTAGCCTAAGGTAATTGAAAAGTCAAAACTCTAGGAATCTCTTCTCTAATTGAAAACCATTTTTTTTTTTTTAAACCCATGCCTAAGTGCAGCAATTACACACAATTCTTTAGGTTAATTCCATGTGATTAAAGTATTCTTTGAAGAAAAGCAAATAAGGTCATATTAGCCCTCAGTTGTTTTTAACTGTAAAATCAGAGGACTGGACAAAGAACTTTGCATGTTTAAAACTATTGGGTGCAATTATTTTATAAAAGAAATATTTAACAGAACCTTACTTAGTAAAGTAAGAAGAACTTCCTGAAGCTGGAAATACAGGAATATCAGTTTGTCCAAACACTTTTGTTTCAGAGTGTGACCAAATAAAATCAAGGCACTACATTTACTGCAATTCTGTTGCCAAGAAAAGATGAATCTTAAGGGGAGGTGGAACACTGAAGGCATCAAACACACCATTATCGCTTGATTCTATGACCTACATGTGGATGTTTTAGATAAATAAAGAGACATCCACACTTTTAAAGATAATATCCCTGAAAATGTGTTAGCAGGAGTGCTGCTTTAAATACCAGTATGCTACGACACAACCGCTACTAACATGTGAATAGACTAGAAATTTTATGGATTTCTCAATGTATTCCGCATATGAGAGCTCTTCAGTTACATTGTCATCATTTACCACTGTCCAAAGTAGATCTTATCCTGCTGTACTTGTGACACTTGATTAATATTATGTCAATGTTTCCATTACAAAATTCTATTTTCATGGGTTCAGAACATAATCTAAAAAATTCCCTCTGAATTGAAACTTGGCATAGGAAAGTCCAAGCTGAGACTATTTTGTGATGCCAAACTTCTTTCCAGTACTACCACAAAATAAAGTTATTAAGATACTGATTACTAGGATATACAAACTGAAAAATGGGGAAGCCATCAGAATTTGAAAAGTTCTGATGTTGTAGTACAAAAATCCTGAAAAGTGAATAAAAAATATATGCAAAGTTGCTCATTAATTTTTACTAGGCTTTTTGGATAGGTATGGTTTTATTATACCCAATAAATACAACAAACAATGGGGATTTAATTGGTGTCTTGAGTAAATGTGTCTTTAATCAAGGAATTAATGGTTACAAAACATTAACAAAGTGATGTGTATGATCTTTAGTAAAATTTTCCACAAATAAAGTGGCTTTTCTTTTAAAAAAATAATACAAGTTGTAAAATAATAAATATCAATCCTATAGAAAACAATGAAGAATAAGTTACAAAGAAACAGAGAAAATGAAGTTTAATGATAGAGAGAGTCTTAAAAAATTACATTCACAGACGTTTAACACATGAGAGTAGGATTATGATACAATGCAAATTGGACCCAAGTCCAAAAGTAACAATATAAGTACACTCCTGAAATAGGTCCTATCAGGAAATGAGACAATTTTCTCTTGAATTTTGCATATTTTCTTTCTTGAGAAATCAGGGAGGCTCTGAACCAGTGTTTTCCTAACAAGATATCTTAGAACCACAGTTCTCTAAAATGCTCTCTCAGGGAGAAAGTGATCCAATCTTAAGGGAGCTCACTAGCACTTAAAGACTCATAGGAAAGAAAACTGATCATTTCCCCCAAAACTTATTTGACCATGGAACCCAATTTTATGTAACACCTGTTAACGTTTACCAAAGACACCATTTTTACCAAATTTTCTCCTAGAAAATTTGATCAGATTATTAGAAACACTAGGTTTTGAGATGAGCTCAATTATATTTGAAAATTGTCTGGCAATACATCATGACGCCCATTTCTTCTTCCTTGTTGGAGTTGGACTTGGTTTCTTTAAAGCCTCTTTCAAATATGAAATTCTATAATATCAAAATGCTGAAGAGCATATTCGACACTTATGTCCCTAATTTATTTTTAGAAATGTCTGACCTGGCTCAAGCAAGTGTTTATGAACTTCTACTGCTTAGATAAAATGTATGTGATCCTCTTAATATGTTCTTAAATTGTGTTCTTAATATGTTCATATTTTTAATGTACAAATATTCCATGAGTGAATTATCTGCTGAGGGGATTTTTTTCCCTTGACCCTCATGGTCTCTTGGTGTCTTTGAGTGTGTCTAATTATACTAAAAAGCTAAATTTAAATTATTTTATATGCAACCCATCCTCCTTCTCCTTTCCATTAGCATGGATAATCAAGAATTCATGGTATTATGGATTTTTAAATGTCAGAGACTGTAAAGCTGTCTTGCCTATTACAGTAAAAACTTCATTAAGGGCTATCCCGTATTCCAAGGGATGTGTAATTCAAAGCAGCTGCGCATCCCCCGCCCCCTCTCCAGATGTACTATTGTCTTTTGAATAAAAACATCAGATAATCTAAGTACTCTTTAATTTCAAGCCTCGTTTCTAGGTGCCAGGAATTTCAAGGTAACTATGTTTTAACAAAGTTGTTGTATCCCCTGCCCATCAAACCCGTCAAAAATGGTGCCTTCCCACCGGCCCCTGTTTTACAGGAATGGCTCCTATTGGAGTGATCCTTCAGCCCTGAATTGTCTTTCCCAAAGCCTATGTTTAGCCTTGCACGTCAGAAACTCGTCCAGTGATATATATACTTTTCTATTTTTAAAGACTTTTGGTCATAATAGGAATGACTCTCCCCTTTCTCACTTTTGGGTCTAGAATACCTCGATTTTCTTTCATCCACAAAGTCTGTGTGTGTGTGTTTTTTTAAATGTGACACATATCCACTGAAATGCAATCTTCTGTACTTATATGTCATAAATTAAAATAATGAGTTTCCTAATAATAACACGTGTGCTTTAATTGCTTTTCCTAAAGGGGTTCAATTTATGATGAAGAAAAATAAGATTAAGTGACTATGGGAACGGTGAGAAACTAATGGACACAAAGTATGTATCTTAAAAGATCAAGCCAGGAGCAAACCTCATGTAAACTATCCTTCTTTTATTACAGAGTAGCCAAGGACAACTTAAGCTAAGATGAAAACAAAAGCGGAGTTCATGCCCCTCTTGTCTTCCTTCAAGATGGTGTGTTTTTTTAAGCTGAACTTCTCTGTCATCAATAATTTTGTAAATTACCTTTTACAAAGGAAAGATAAAACCTGTCTTTATGTAAACCCTGACACATCACATAGAGACTTAGGAGCGTTCCAACCCAAACGGTTTTGGCACACCAGCTGCCCAGCACTGAGGCCGGCGAAGGGGGCTGGCAGAAAGTGTATTTAGGACGAACGCCACCCACCATCAAGTAATGGTTTAAGTAGAAAGTAATCAGAGGGAGACCACAGCAGCTAAATTTCAACCGAAGATATTCTAGGTTTAGAACAATAAATAATTGCAATCAGGTATGTTCCAAGTAGCAAATAGGGCTCTAAGGCTATAACTCTGCCTGAATAAGCACTTGGAAAGTCTGCCGGATCAGCAGCCACCCATATAAACAGCGTCCCACCTGACCCTCCATTAAAATCGGGAACACCGTCGGTACAGAGAAGCCCATATGTTGTGAAATCCAAACACCATGGACTAGAAAACATATCTACGTCACTAACGCAGACAGCATTTGTCACCTATATCAGAACACAGGTCACAGGACGAAGGGTGTTATGGAAAAGCTGATACAGAAAAGGAGAGGGGCACACATGAAAGCCTTAGCACCTTCCTGGGGCCCTGCCTTATTAGAGCCAGAGCTGCCTTATAATAAGGTCCTTTTACT